GACCACGTGACCGCGCGGCCCCCACCGGCCTGGCGCCCCTTTCCCGCGTCCCCTCTTCGCTCGGGCCTTCTTCTTGTCAGCCCCTCCGCCCTACCGCCGGCCCTCTTCCGGAACACGACCGCGACCTCACAAAAAGACCCCTCTGAGCGCCAAGGCCGGCACACCCGGACCTTCCACCCCCGGTGGCAGCCAGAACCCCTTTGTCTCAGTCTGGGCCCCGGACCCCAGCCCCGCCCCTGCGCCTTCCCTCGGGCGTCCTTGTCAGTCAAACCTGGTGCCTCAGACGGCCTGAAGTTTTCAGGGTGTCAACTGTTCTCTCGCCCTAGAGAATCGGTTACAATGTGTGATTTCCTCTCTCGTGTCCTACCAGAACACGGATAATGTAATTTTTCTCTTGGTGCCTGACTTTCCTCTAGCTCTCTAGGAAAAATCCGAACTTCAGTAACTGGAGAGGACCGAAGGGAAAGGAGGAGGCGGCCGAGGGCGGGAATGGGGGCGTTGTTTTTCCCTTCTAGCTGAGGAGGTGGAGCCAAATTCCTCAGAAAAGATGTCAAGGCCCGCAAATTAACCCTCATCTGCGTATTTGCATTCCAACATCAGAGCCAGCCTAGAAGAGAATTGTTATTCTTTATATACTCTGCCTCCGGAATGCACTTTCTTGAACTCTTGTTACCTTTCCTATCCAGGCCTAAGCTGTTTTCGACAAAACTAAAGGACTCCAAAACAAAGTCCTGCTTGTTCTATTCAAACTGTTGTTACTCATTGTGCAGGTGAATTCCGACTCACAGTAGAAGGAAAAAAATACAATGTAAAATGGTTCACTCACCCAAAGCTCTATCAGGAAATGTCAGTGTAAGATCACTTTTTTTAAACTCAAATATTTGAAAGGCATGAGGCAAAACATATATTCCATATCTTTAAAAAGAAATGAACCACAGACAGGCCCTCTACTTTAAGAACGTCTTGTTTAACTGTCACAAAAGGTCATTCGGGTAATGGACTCTGGCCACTACTCAGAGTAAAGCACCGTCCAGTCCAGTTCACAGACAGGAAAGGACTCAGCCCCGTGTTTTAAAACAATAATGAACCATGAAGACAGCAACCATAGAAACAGATTCAATGTAAGGTGACTATACTGAGGCAGGAGCGATTGGCAAGGATTTGAAACTAAGCTGTTTTGCAGGGGATGTAGCTCAGTGACAGAGTGTGCATGAACGAGAGCAAGAACCTCGGTTCATGCTTAACACTGCAAAAATAATAATAAATAAAACTAAATTCTTGTTATAAAAGAGAAACACTTAATGTTGTTTTAAGTTGCAACACTTAATGAAGATTGCTTCCAGGCCAAAAACAAAAAACTGTTTCTAGCTGGGGTCAGTTTTGTTCAAAGGACATTTGGCAATGTTTGGAGACATTTTGCCACTAAAGTGGGGAGACTTCTAATGTTGAGAAGTCAAAGGTGTTGATAAACATCCACAGTTCACAGAGGATACCCTCACAACTGGAATTATCCAGCCCTAAATGTTCATAGTAACAAGGCTGAGAAATCCAGGCTTAAAAATGTTTAATGTGGGGGCCAGGGATTTAGCTCAGGGATGCTGCTGCCTGCTTCACAAACTTAAGATAGATCCTGAGTTTAATCCCTGGTACCAAAAAAAAAAAAAAGTTTAATGTGTTATTTAATTTTGTTGTCAATTGACAGTGTTTTTTGTTTTTTTGTTTTTGCTGGATTTGGATGGATATCGCAAATTGACAAGACGCAGCTCCTTTAGAAGTTCCAGGCTTTGGGCGCCAGTGGCTCTGGGCCCTTATTGTTACACCTCTGGGCTCTCAGCCACCCCTATCAGCTCCTAAGCAGCAGAAGCTAACCCTCCACCTCTAGCCAGAGCTCTGCCAGCAGCTTCCTACTGCCTCTGTGGGTCTCCACCAAAAGCCGCTGTTCTCAGCCAGTCGACGTGGCTGATTAAAACTGCTCACTGCTGCTGGTCAATGCTGCTGGCTGGTCAAGACAAGTTGATGCCAGTTGTTCAGACCCAGTTGCTTCTGGTCTCTGCTGCTGATCTCCACTGATCTTTATGGATTTCTGCCACTCGTCTCTGGAACTCTTCAGGACTAGCAGTCCCTGGTGTTTATAGTTCTTTTTAATTTGATCTGCTCTGCCTACATTAGTGGGAGAAGCCTGGACCTTCCAATCCATACAACCCAAGATCGCTAGCAGATATGCAGGACAAACCAGGCAGAGCTTTATTTGAACCTAGGCTGGGTGAGGAGGTGAGGAAATAACACATACCAGAGCAAGCCAGTCTGACTAACCCAAGGAGCTGGAGGAAGTGCTATTTCTGTAGAGGAGCAGAGAGTGCAAGTTCATATGGAATTGTCTGAGTTTCAAGTTTGACCCATTGAGGTCATCAGGGATTGGCTAGAGAGCAAAGTCAACTGGGATTAGTGAACTCTCACACCTTCTTGGGCAATCATTTAGAGGGCATGAGATGGAATCACCCAGGATTGGTCCAAATTCCAGGCAGCTGATTGGTTCAAATTTAAGCCTTCTGTGATCCAGATAGACATGGACTGAAATGGATAGGGACATTTAAGACGGCCTCAGCTGTAGCTGTCAATCAAAGTACACCCCCCTCTGAATGTCAGGGGAAAAAAGGAGGGGTTGGGCTGTTTCTGTTCTATCTCAATTTGACTTTCTTATTATATCAGAATAAATCCAAATATAGCATACTGTTTACCATTTCTTTCAATAGTAAATAGTGGGCATATGATAATTTTAAGTAAGCATATGACAATTTACTTCATTCTGCTCATTTGTACATTCAACATGATTTGAGTGGCATCTTTTCAGGTTAAAAACATTTGTCATTTAGAAGATTGTTTTAGGTTTTAAGCTCCTGCATATAATTATGTATGTTATTCAAGAGAAAGTGCCCCAAGAAAATTGGGTAAAGGTTTAAATGTTTCTTTGTAAGTTGCTTCTGAATCATGGACCCTGTCATGTATAAAAATTTTTTGAAGATTATGCGTTTCCCTTTAAATTGTAAAAGTCTTACCCATTTTACTATCTGTTCCTTTCGCTGGAAATCTTGGCCTCTAATTGTTCATCTTAGGATAGTACCTCTAGAATATTTACAAATATTCATTACTAACTGTTCTATTCTTGATTTTTTTTTCCACAGGGTCTCACTATGCAGTCCAGGTTGGTCTTTAACTTACTATGTAGCCCAGACTGACCTCGAACTCACAGCAATCCTCCCGCCTCATCCTCGCAAGTGCTGGAATTACAGGTGTATACCACCACACCTAGTTCTGGATACTTTAATCAAGAGCAGGTAGAGAGACAGAGAGAGAGAGAGAGAGAAAGAAAGAGATGAGAATATGCTAACTCAATCTTAGCTCTCAATCAAGAGTATTTGATTTTAGGAAATAAACACTAATTAAATGAACTGATTCTAATCCACATTAATTACAAGAGGATGGAAAACTGATACTAAGCTGCCATCACAAATTTAAATGATTGATGATGTGTTCTAACTATATAAAATAGAGCTAGTTTACATTTGGAATTATTGTGAGCATCTGAAAAACTACCTCCTGCCAGCTGAGTTGGTATGTGCCTATAGTACCAGGTAGGTACTTGGGAGGCTAATGCAGAAGGATCACTTGAGTTCAGGAGTTCAAGACTTACTTGGAGCTAGGCATGGTGGTGCATGGCTGTAGTCCCAGTTCTTGGGAGGCTGATGCAGGAGGACTGTCATGAGTTTGAGGCCAGCCTGAGCTACATAGTTCAAGTCTAGCAAGAACTACACGGTGAGACCTTGTCTGAAAAAAAAAAAAAAGACCTACCTGGACAACATAGTGAGTGAGACCTCATCTGGGTTGAAGGGAGGGCAGGGGAATAGGGGAAAAAAAAAAAGAACCAAGATAGATTACATAAAGGTGTAAATTCCCAATGATGAATGTCATTAGATTGTATACCTAAAATGTACCAATAAAACTACTAATAAAAAAAAGAAATAGGGGGACCAGGAGGGAAGGAAAGGAAAGGAATGAAGAAAATGAATGTCATTAGATTGTATACCTAAAATGTACCAATAAAACTACTAATAAAAAAAAGAAATAGGGGGACCAGGAGGGAAGGAAAGGAAAGGAATGAAGAAAGAATTAAAATGTGCTGTGTATATGTACCAACTCTCCACAAAGAATGCGAATACTATGTACTACAAACGTACCAATAAAGAAGGTCTGAAAAAAAAATAACATGAGCTCAAAAAAAAAAAACAATGATAGGTGCAATAATCCCTTCATTTCCCCATTCCCTCTCCTGCTATAAACCAGATGTGATATTTGCCATCTTCGACTATAGATATAAGGGCCACATCTCAGGGATGTCAGAGTAGTGAGCTAGAAGTAGCCTAGGTCCCTGAGGATCTCAGCCGACTGACTAACCCTGGACTGCCTCACTCCCCTATTTTAATGTGAAAGTGAAAAAAAAAATAAAATTAAAAACTAAAGGTATACCTGTGTGAACACTCCCCTCTTCACATAATAAGTGGCAATTATAAAAATCTAGGATATCTTTTTATCTATATAGAGATTACCATGTAATGACACCTGGGGGGGGACTAAGAAGATGGTGACAGATAGGAGCTATAGTAGTATCCTAAGGCTGCTGTAAAAATTATCATAAGGAAGATCAAAATAAGCCACCCTAAAATATGCTTTTTTAGCATGTTTCAAGATGATATTCAGAAGGTCTTCAGATGCAGTAGTATCTCTGAAAAGCTGTCTTATGGGGCAGATCTGAATCTATACTAGAAGTAAACTGTAGATGGAAACAGGCTTGCTTTGAGCCTTCACCCTCATCTGTGAAGCAGAGAACTTTTCACAAGAGGAAGAGACTGGGACTCTGCCACTGACCTAGACAGAGATGTTCAGAGGTGGCCCTCTGAAGACAGTTGCCTGGGAGAGTTCGGATGCCATATAAGATAACTTTTCCTTGGTGCATTTTCCTCCCACCCTTCTATGACATGCATCACCACCAGTTTAAAATGCTATTTAAGCTTCAACTATCTACCTTTCTTCAAATTTCATATTGTGTGTAGGCTAAATTTATTGAAATTTTAGTGGGAAAAGAAAATTTTAAACTTCAGGACAACTACAAAGTTGGTGGTTGGGCTAGGGATTTACCTCAGTGACGCCGCCGCATGTCTATAAAGTGCAAGGTCCCAAGTTTGATACCCAGTTCAAAAATTAAAAAAAAAAAAATTTACAGATTTGGTGGTTTAAAACAACAGAAACACATTCTTTTACTGTTCTAAAGGCCAAAATTCCAAAATCAAAGTGTTATTAAGTTGAATTTCTTCTGTTGTCCTGAGGGAGAAACCATCTCATATCTCTCTCCCAGCTTTCTGCAGATTTCAGCAATATGTTTATATCTTCACATTACTTTCTTTCTGTGTGCCTGTCTGTAAAAGGATCTCCTTTCTCCAATAAAGA